CACACACACACACACACACACCAGCAACAAAAAATTGTACTTTGTTGTGAAAATAAGTCCTAACCTAAGAGAAAATCTGGATCCCCCCCTTAAAAATAAATGCTAAGGGGATGTGTTTATTTGTGCAACTCTGTTGCCCTCTGCGCTCCATCTGGGCTGGGGTATTTTTTAGAGACAGTGGAGAAATGTTCTCTTAGGCAGATGTTGCCATCTGCTGGCCAGATGTTGCACCATTCAGAAAGGTTCACTGGCTGAGCATTAAAAAAATTATAAAAAAATTTAATAAAAAATTAAAAATAATCAGGGTGGGCCTTGCTGTTGGACTGCAATACCCATCAGCCCCTGGCCAGCATGGGATACAACATAGGAGCTACTGCCCAGCAGTATTTGGAGGGCCATGAGTTACCCACTGCTGCTTTTCCCCACGGGACTTTAAAAACTGTTGTTGTTGTGTGCCATTAAGTGTTTCCTACTTATGGCGACCCTAAGGTGATCCTATCATGGGGTTTTCTATAAGCCTATCCTGTATTTTAACTTCATGTCCCCCATATGATAGAAGGGCCACAACCCTGGGTTATAGCCTCCCAGATCTTCAGGTTCCAGGAAAGTGCATGGGGGGGGGGCGGGAATCCAGAAATGTTTATTGTTGTATATGCCTTTGTGTTGTTTCTAAGTTATGGTAACCCTATCAAAGGGTTTTCTTGGGAAGATTTGTTCAGAGAGGGTCTGCCATTGCCTTCCCCTGAGGCTGAGAGAGAGTGACTTGCCCAAGGTCACCCAATGGTTTTTATGGCTAAGCTGGGAATCGAGCCCTGGTCTCCAGAGTCCTAGCCCAACGCTCAAACCACTATGCCACGCTGGCTCTCAAAATGATCTTAATTAAGTGTAATTATGCTACTTAAAATGATTTGCATTGTTCTTTTTCTTTACCTAAGTGAACCAGCTAGGCGAGATTCCATTTTTTTGTTTTTCCAAACTTTTGCATGACTACCAGTGTGGTGCAGTGATTTGAACATTGGATTAGGACTCTAGAGACCAGGGTTTGAATCCCAGCTCCGCCGTATCAACTCACTGGGTGATCTTGGGCAAGTCACACTCTCTCAGCCTCAGAGGATGGCAATGGCAAACCTCCCCTGAAGAAATTTGCCAAGAAAACTCCATGATAGATTTGCCTTAGGGTCACTGTAAGTTGGAAACAACTTGAAGGCACACAACAACAACAACAACAACAACAACAAACCTGTGGTAAGGTGTGATGAGCCTCATGGCTACTGGATTCCACAGTTTTAAAAGGGGATTAGACATACAGATGGATGATAAACCTATGAATAAACACCTGTAATGAGATATCCATTACTTGAGACAGTTACCTTTTTGGATGAACAATAATAATAATAATAAAATTTATTTATATACCGCCCAATGGTTACCCAATCCAGGCGGTTTACAGCATAAAACAGTTACAATAAACAACATCTCCCTCCCCCCCTTAAAACAGTATTAAACAATGACATAGTTAAAATCCTGATGACAATATAACGAAAGATTATAACAATTAAAATAGTAAAAACCGCTGCATAGTCTGCCCTTCTCCCAAAATAAAACACATCAACAGTCAAAGAAAGGCAGAGAGAACTTCAACCAAGTTTTAGGTTTGTTTTTTTTACTTAAAGTAAAAAAAAATAAATCCTAGATACCCCTACCATTTCTGCTTCTGAGAACTGCTGCTCAAAAAAGTAAGTTTTTAAATCCCTGGTGAGGACCCTCCATGTTTAAAAGCAATGTACCTCTTGGTATCATTTATTAGGGAAACAACAATGAGTGCATCTACACTGTAGAAATAATGCAGTTTGACACCACTCTAATTGCCATGGCTCTAAGGGGTGAGTGGGATTGGGTTTAGGAGGGTGTATTGTGAAATTTTATTGTTGTAAGCCGCCCTGATTGCTTTGGTAGAGGGGCGGGATAGAAATAATTTATTATTATTATTATTATTATTATTATTAATTATTATTATTATTATCATCTTTCCTACAGAATCCTAAAATCTGTAGTCTGGTGACACACCAGCACTCTTTGGCAGAGACAGCCAAAGACCTTGTGAAATTACAAATCCCAGGATCCCATAGGATGGTGCCACAGCACTTAAAGTGGTATCAGACTGAATTAATTCTACAGTGTAAATGCACCTGCGGTAAAAGGTTCTTTGCTTTGCTTCCTTGCTTCTAGGCTTGAGCAGCACAGGGCCAGCCCTACCATTAGGCAAAGTGAGATGGCTGCTCAGGCTGGAAGCTTTTGGGAGATGTCATAAAAGGACAATGAACTGCAAAATGCAAAGGTTACTGCTGCCTTGTGAAAGAGTGCCATTTGCAAATGTGCTTCAGGCAGCAAAATCTCCTGGATCGGCACTGGACTGGCAAGTGTTTGGGACAAGAATTCTAAGGCAGCAACAATTCAGTTGACCAACACAGCTATATCTTTCAATTAATTCAGTTTTTCTTATATTCGTTGGCTTGTTTTAAGACAGTTTGCTATGATAATTCCTCTTCATAATATCAGGGATGTAATTTGGAGGGGTAGCTAATTGCCCAGAGGACAGGATCAGAATTGAAAATGACCGTAACAGATTAGAAAGCTGGGGCAAAAGTAGCACAAGGAACTTCAACAGGAAAAGATGTAAGATATTACACCTGGGCAATGCACAGATATAGGATGGGGGACACCTGGCTTGAAGGCAGTACATGCAAAAAGGATCTGTTGACATTGATGTTTTATTGTTGTGATGTTTTATGACTGTAAGCCGCCCCGATTGCGTTGCAGAGGGGCGGGATAGAAATAAATTTTATTATTATTATTATTATTATTATCTGGAGTCTTAGTGGACTATTGGCTGGACATGAGTCAACAGTGTGATGCAGCAGCTAAGAAAGCTAATGCAATTCTAGACTGCATCAAAAGAAGTATAGTGTCTAGTAGATCGAGGGAAGTAATAGTGCCACTCTATTCTACTTTGGCCAGGCCTCACCTGGAATAATATTGTGTCCGGTTCTGGATACCACAATTCAAAAAGGATATATGGAGAAGTTGGAGTGTGTCCAAAGGAGGGTGACCAAAATGGTGAAAGGTCTGGAAACCATGCCTTACTAGGAGAAATTTATAGAAAGCTGGTATGTTTAGCCTGGGGAAGAGAAGGTTAAGAGATTACATGACAGCCCTGTTTAAATATTGAAGGAATGCCATACTGAAGATGGAGCAATCTTGTTTTCTACTGCTCCAGAGATCAGGACCCAGACAGAGCAATGGATGCAAGTTACAGGAAAAAATATTCCACTTAAAACATTAGGAAGAACTTCCTGACATTAAGAGCTGTTCACTATTGGAACCCACTCCCTCAGAGAATGG